CTGGCTCTCGCGAGAGCTCAGGGGAAGCGGCCAAGCCTCTGGCCCCGGCCGAGCGGCTCTAGGGAAGGAGCGGGTGCGGCGGGGCGGGGTATCCGGGGGCGTGGCCTCCAGCCCCAGTACTTAACCCGCGGCGGCCGGCGCCCCTGAGGCGCCTCAGCCGAGAGCCGAGCGCTCGATTGCTATCGCTGCTTTAGTCTGTGGCTCCGCCCGCCATTGTAAGTGCGCCTGCCAAGGGAGCGGAGGGTGGGCGGGGAAGGCGGCCGCTTCCGTTTCGCCTGTGCCCGGATGAAGGAGGAGGCGGGGCGGGGGGAAGGTGTCCCCACGCTCCCTTGGAGCCCACCTTGTTCCCACCTGTTCCCACCTGTGCTTCGCCCCCGGCGTCCCCCGCGTGGAAGTCTTGCTTCTCTGGTGTCCCTCGCGCGCTCGCGGCGTCCTCCGCGCGCCCCCGGCATCCCCCGCGCGCCCCCGGCATCCCCCGCGCGCCCCCGCTATACCCCGGGGGTCCCCCGTCTTCCGTATCCCGCGCGCCCCTTTCTGACGTCCTGGGTCAATCCGAGACGCCCTGCCCGGCTGCGGCGCCCGGGGCTCGGCTGAGCGCTCTCCCGTCTTTGGGCTTAGAAGGGTTAAAAGGCGAATGCCCTGCGGTTTCGCGCGTCAGGGTACTTGGGTTTGAGAAATTCTAACTCCGGACTTTTTTAATGCAGAGGCCAGTAGTCCGCTATGGAGCGCGTCTTTACCCCGTTGGAGCCCCTGCTTCCCACCGGTACTGTATCTCTCCCAGGGCTTGTGGGGTCGCCGGGCGCGCCCCTCTCCAGAGCCAGGTCCCCAAGCTGGTTGCTGCCTCAGACTACCCGACCTTCTGCTCTTAGGCTTGTGCCCCTGTCGCTCTGTGCCTCGGTTTCCCCGCCTGGGAATGAGGATACATATTAGCCCTTCCCGCGTGGGTTGTGGCGAGGACTGAATGATTTGATGTATCGGGCGTCCTCTGTCTGCTGCAGGGTAAGCCCTGCCAGCAGTGTTGGCTGTGGCCTTGGCAATGCAGAACCTAGACTCTGGGTGGAAGGGACACTCACTGCCTGCCCAGTGTGCCTTTAATCCATCGCGGGTGCCAGAGATTACCCATTAGGAGCAAGTGGTTATATACAATGTCTCAGAGGTCTGGCACTCAGGGTTTTCACACCTTTAAACTTACAAATGATTGTACTTCACATGGAAATGGGTGGAATGAATAAGCTTTTATAAGGCATTCGTTATCGCGGTTTGTGTGCGATGATTTTTAATGTTATAAATACATTTTATATTCGCAGATTAGCCTTTGTGTTTCCACTGTGTAGAACTGGTAGTTTCAGTTTTGTAAACTTTTCAAGAGAATCCGTTTTTTAAGGTTTACACTTGTTTTCTGTTTACACATGAATTCATGGTATTTAAACTTGTCAGCATTCATCCTGGGAGTATTGACGATAAAACAATGGAAGGATAGCAGTAGGTGGTGACCTTGAGTCCTCTTTATGTTCCACTCACTATGCTAGGTTCTTTATGTATACCTTCGTATTTACGAGGTGATATGTAAATCCAGTTTACAAAGGGAAGAAACGCAGGTATCAAGTGACGGAACTAAAATCTGAACCCAGATATTTCTGACTTGGTTAAGAGCTTGAGTTTGTCACTATTTCCGTAAAGCCCCTTTCAGAGGTTAAGAGGAGCGTTGGTGAACGTACAGTTTTGCAGACTAAGTTTCATAATTCTCAGTCGTCCAGTAGTGGCTGGCTCAGCAGCGTTTTCAGAATTAAACATTTGGTTC